CTAAAAGAAAGAAAGAAAGAAAGAAAGAAAGAAAGAAAGAAAGAAAGAAAGAAAGCTCAAAGAAAGAAAGGCAGGAAGCGTCTGAAAGTGAAACAAAGATTATATTGAACACGGAAAAGACCATGAAAGAAAGAAAGAAAGAAAGAAAGAAAGAAAGAAAGAAAGAAAAGGCCGAAACGTTGTAATAAATATGGCGAAAAAGATGAGGACAATAGTCCGAATAATGTAAATAATGTACATAATGCCTCATCTCAGAAATATAGACAGATACTGAAGGATCGGATAAATATGGCACCAAAGATGAGGACAATAGTCCGAGTAATGTAAATAGTGTACATAATACTTCATCTCAGAAATATAGACAGATCCTGAATGATCGGATAAATATGGCAACAAAGATGAGGACAATAGTCCGAATAATGTAAATAGTGTACATAATACCTCATCTCAGAAATATAGACAGATACTGAATGTTTGATTTTGTAATTTATTTGATTCATTCTCAGATCATTAATATCTGTTAATTATATATATAAACTCCCGAGCCCGTTGCTTAGTAGGGGTTATTGTCTTTCAGTTGCGTCTCTGTCTTCGGCCAAAGCGTAGTGGCTCTGGACGACGATTTACTTCATGGCCGAGCCGGTGTAAAGCACGTTGGGCCTAAAATGATTTTAGACTGTCAAAAGGGGCGAGAGAGAATATTTTTCTTCAATAAGATTTCTCGAATATTCAGGACTAGAGACGAAAATAAATAAACATAATAATAAATAAACGGAGCATAAACCTAAACATGGGGTATCCACTAAGACTAAAGTTTTAGTAATGTTTGTTTGTTTGTTAGTTCAGCGGCATATCAACTCCTTAAGGGCCAATTAATATTTAGGGGAGCATTTATAATTTTCTTTAAAAAAATATATTGCTGGCATTTTTTGAAAAACTTTATTGCTGTTTTTTTTTTTTTATTATATGAACATATATTGATGGTGTTTTACTATAGAATTATTTTTATACTTTCATAATATTTTGACCCCAGTGTGAGGTTAACTATTTGCCCACAGCTGGGGCCCAAAAAGGTGCGACCATCGTGGGTCATGGTGGCCTTGGAAACAACAGTTTCACGTTCCTCAAAACCGCCAATCTCCCAGATCAGAATAATAATAATAATAATAATAATAATAATAATAATAATAATAATAATAATAATAATAATAAATAATAATAATAATAATCATTGCAATGACAAAAGTACGCAGGTGTAGGCTTTATTAAACTGAGAATACAAGCTTCGTGCCGTTCTATAGTCCAAGTAACAGAAAATGCTCTTCAGAGAGGAGAGAACAAAAACAAGGGGAGATCACTCTGATTATTCATAACAGTAACATATATATATATATATATATATATATATATATATATATATATATATATATATATATATATATATATATATATATATATATATATATATATATATATATATATATATATATATATATATATATATATATATATATAAAAATATAAATGGTAAGATATATAATCCGGTGTTCTTATAGATATTTTATATTTTTACAAAATAGTTTTAATGTAAATTTACAGAGCATTAATATTATAAATTAATTGATTTAAAAAGTTACTCCAAATTCGCTCGAGGAGGAAATGGAACTAATGTCTTTAATTTAATTACAAAATTAAATTCGGGCTTTTAGCTTCCATTTTTGAAACATGGTTAGAATTGTGTATCGAAAAAAACATATCTTAAATCAATTAATTTATAATATATATATATATATATATATATATATATATATATATATATATATATAATTGAATGCGTTTAAATCTATTAACTATACAACCATGTTTGGCATCTTTAAATAAAATTCATAAGTATATTGCGCGCTAACACAGATTTCTACAAACATCAGACGAGGATTAACTTCAAAAGAAACATCAAAGAAAATACCCTTTAAAACAGTACAGAATATATATATATATATATATATATATATATATATATATATATCTTTTGTTTTATTGTTCGTCTCAGATTAGCTACTGTCTGCCTTCGATTTTTCTTCCTCCATTCTTAGAGAGTTCGAATTATAAATTATTCTCTTCTTTCTTTCGTTATTTCTTTATCTTAGCTTTCTCCGTATTCCTAATATCTGCGTTCAAATTATTCGGATTAAAATGTTTTGTTTTTCGTTTGTTTTGTTTTTTTCACTATTTATCTTATTTGCAGGATCAAATAATACAAGAAAAAGCCACGCGAACAAGTCGGACAACAATCAAATCAAATCGGTAACTAAGAAAAGAAATATTTTCTAAGTCAAGTCAGGATTGCAGCACGTACTGATTGCAGACCACTTGAACAAAACACGACTCAACGCTATTTGAGATGAACGTCATAATAACAAAAGAGAAGAAAAGAATCGTTGATGTAAGTTAATGGTTAGAACGCGGGGCATCCTGTTACGAGTATATACTGATATTTAAACACTTCGCCAGCAATTACTTTTCTTTTAAATCACTGTGCTCCTACTAACATAGCTTTAACGTGACTGAATCTTACACATCATAGGATTGGAGGGTGATCCCTATTATACTGTGTATTTAACCAATGATTTTATCAACGTCAATATATTATGAATTATGCTAGTATTTTTTATATGTGCACAAACAAGAAAACATACGTAAAGAGAAAAATAAGAGGAGAAACAGACTGAACAGCGGCGGTTACACGAAGCTTCATCATACTTATTATAAAACCCAGATTTTGTGTGTGTGTGTGTGTGTGTGTGTGTGTGTGTGTGTGTGTGTGTGTGTGTGTGTCTGTACGTTTATATATTGGATCGGATTTCCTACATTTTTTCAACCGATTTCAACAAAACTTCACAGAACTACGTAAAATTACCTTTGGGTGGTTCTGACAGCGCCAAAATTGGAAAAACACAATTGTTTTTGCATGAAATCAATTGAAAAAATACGATTAAGATGCATCACGAGAATGAAAGGGTACAACTCATATCGAGTTATACTTATTATAAAACCCAGGTTGTTTGTTTGGGTGTGTTCGTTTATATATGGGATCGGATTTCTACATTTTTCAAACCGATTTCAACAAAACTTCTTTTTTTTTTTTGGTAGTGTTTCTTATTGTCTTGCACACTTTTTCCTTTATTTTTACATTCAGAATGTATTTAAAAATTCCATTTACAGGACAATTGTTTATAATAAAATACTGTTCAATCGATAGACTCTTAAGGATTGAAAACAATGTTTTTGTTTGAGTTTGGGTTTGACCATTTCGTTAAAAAAAAATAAATAGTTAAGACATGCGTGTCCGTCAACCTTAAACAATAATCTTTGTCAATTTTATTTTTCAGTCTTCCAGATGGTCGATACTTGATCTATCTCTTACTGTTACATCCCCGGGCAACGTCGGGTTCTACTGCTAGTGTAATCTACGAGGTGCTGAAAGGACTGCACGCATACACAAATTTATACATATCTAGGGTCAATGAATGCCGAATGATTCCTTATAAGGACACGGATAATATTACCATTTGAATTAAAGATGAAGAGAACAGATACTACATTTTGATCCTAGCCTGATAACCAGGAAGTAAAGAAAAGCGTAACTCGTTTGGCACTGGTTGCTTCGCTCAGGAATACCGAAAGTTTCCTTATAAGGAAACAGCTAATATAACCATTACTATTATTATACAATGGACACGGGGGAATGCTTGTTGGGCCCAAGAAACGCCTGAGTATTCTGGTGCTTGCTAATTTGGTGAGATTCAGGGAAGTGTGCCGAGCACCTCTTAGCCTAGCTCCTCGTATGTGGGATGAAAGATGGGTTTGTCCTTTTGGAAGGGTATGTATTTTATCATGGTCGTAAGAGGAAAATCTAATATAATCTTTTTGGATTTTCTTTTGGTAATCACGTTTGTCTTACGGGGAAAATAGTATTCCAAAATAATAAATTCTTGCTTTGTTCTGACTTATTGGAGAACGACGAGGAAAAAAAAAAAAAAAAAAAAAAAGAAAGAATTTAATCAATATCAGTAAGGGTTATTATCTTAGTCGGGTTTTACGAGCCAATTAATAATAAAAGAGATAAAAAAATAATTAATGGCTGATAAATTCGATTTACCGTTTCATAAAATCACACTTAAAAGCATTCTACGTGAAAATCGTTTACAATTTCTCTGCAAGCAAAATCAGTTGATCTAAGAACTAGAAGTCCTGCCAGGATTTATTATTGTCGAACACAAAGTTAATAACATGTGATTAGCAGTATTGCTAGCGGACACAGAAAGTAATCAACATGAACGCACAAAGAAAGTTGTACCCCCCCCCAAAAAAAGCGAGAAGAAAGGACTAAATATATATTGTAAGAAGACAGAATAAATGGTTGTCTACAAAAGGAATATCCCAGAATGCCAACTACAAATGGGATATACGAAAATCAAGCAATCGCGAAAATTTAAATATCCGGGGATTGTTTTAACAGTGGACAGAAATTGTGGCACAGAAATCCGAAGGCGTATTGGAACAGCGAAAAATAAGCAAAGTGCCAAGAAAGAGAAAAAATTCTTTAGAAACAAAGATTACTGAACTGCTTTGTAATATCAATCATCATATATGGCAGTGAATGCTAGACAAAAACACACACAGAAAAAAAAGAAACTTGAGGCAAAAGAAATTTGGTTCTACAGAAGCATGATGAGAATACTATGGACTGATTATGTGAGTTACATTACACAGTGAAACATCTAATAACTTAATGTGGATACGAAACATTTGATCCAACCTTACAGAAAAAAAAAAAAAAAACATATTTATCTATCTGTTGTGGTAGGATCCACCTAATTTGCATAGTGGAGTACCGACCATATAAATATGGTTGGTACCGGGAAGAGAGGAAGGAATCAAGAGATGCAACCAGAGACTCTGCCCGACTGCGACTCAGCCAACACATTCTCCAGGAACGG